AAGTTGTAGGAAATATAGGAAGAAAAGCAGGACAGAAATGGCAAAAGAAGAATCAACAATTTAATCGAAAAAAAGCAAAGTATTTAAAAAATAAAAAAAGATCTTCTTTAAAATTAGTTTGAAAACAAATGTAAAACCTAAAAAATAATTTTGTATGAAGATTAAAACAAAATTTTAGTTTAAAGTTTACTAAATAAAATTACAATTTTTGAAAACATTTGTTATATTTATTCTCTCAAAAAAATAATTAGACCCGATTCAAAGACAAAACAGAAAATTAAATGAAAATAAATAAAAAAAAAAAACATGTGAAAGTGAAAAGTGTACAGGGAAAATAAGGGGCTGCGAAGCAGCCCCATAAGCCCCTAGTTTTGTTCTAAAAGCAAACTTAGTGTAATATAAATTTTAAATTTTACTTGCCTAATGGCACTGATAAGCTGATTTTGGTGGATGCAATGCACCAAAGTTCACTAAACATTGGCGCACAAAACGAATTTCTCGACGTGTCCCTCATCTCATCAGCTAACAGAGCGACAAGTCAACAGTTGAACGTAGAATTCTCGAAAGAAAAAGCCTCCTCCTTTGTGAAGATACCAGTTTAGGGTCTCTCTTTATCTCCGAAATTCGTCCATATGAAACACATTAAACACATTTATTTCAATATTTACCAAAAAATAAAAACTTCCGACCGGCAAAACTTTAGCAGTTTCCTCTGAATCGAGTGCTCAGCTCAATAGGCACTCTCAGATGAAGCAATAACATTTTTGTGTGCAAATTCTCCCATTTATTTTAAATTTTACTTGCTTAATGGCACTGATAACCTGAGTTTCAGATGGAATGCGCCAAAATTCACCGAACATTGGCGCACAAAACGAATTTCTTGACGCGTCCCTCATCTCAACAGCTAACAGAGCGACAAGTCAACAGTTGAACGTATATAGAATTCTCGAAAAAAAAAAACCTCCACCGTAGTAGAGATACCAGTTTAGGGTCTCTCTTTATCTCCGAAATTCGTCCATATGAAACACATTAAACACATTTATTTCAATATTTACCAAAAAATAAAAACTTCCGACCGGCAAAACTTCAGCAGTTTCCTCCGAATCGAGCGCGTCTGGTTCTCCCGCGGATGAAACCGAACGTGACGTCTGAAACTTTCGGGAGACGGGAAGATTTTTAAGCACAGATTCGCGAAGTCGGGGTTGGAGGGACAAAAAAGCGAGCAAGAGCGGGAAGTATGACGATTCGTAAGACTGCTTCCCCGAATCTTCTCCCAGCCTTACGTCACTTGGAGTGTAATAAAATATTATTGTTTCCTGTGCTCGTGTTGAAAGTCCCCCAGTCCGCTTATGTACCTGTTGCCAAATTGAACCTACTTTTCGTGCAAATGCGTGTATTCAAATGAAAGGTTTAACACAGTGGGAAGTGAAAATTGGAAACATTATTAGTGCCACCTTGCCATTGGAGTATTTTAGAATATGTTGTTCAAGAAAATACTACTTTTAAACTTGACCAGAATTTATTTTTCGATGCAAATATATTGACATTTACAAATAGATGTAAAATTCCCAACGACTGCTAATTTAACTGTCTGCGACACATCGACAGTCGATTATGGAGATGTTGCATGTGTGAGGAATTAGCGATTTGACTGTTGATTCTCATGTAAAAGTTCATGAGAAACACGCTGGTGCCACTGGTTTTCTCTGAAATCAACTTCCAAGCTCAAAAAAAGCTCTCAAGTTGAGGCCACAATGGAGGGGATATCCCACGCTATCCTGAGAGTCATCTCTACATCAAGACAAATTCTCCATGCAAAGATAGGGAGCAAATATACATTGACAGGGCTGCCACCTTATTTGGGGACTCTAAAACTGAAAACACAGCAACCCTGCTAATGTATTTGCTCTCTATTTTTGCATGGAGAGTTTGTCTTGATATAGACGTGGACTCTCAGGATAGCGTGGAATATCCCCTCCATTTTGCCTCAACTTTGAGAGTTTTTTTTTGAGCTTGGGAGTTGATTTCAGAGAAAACCAGTGGCACCATCGTGTTTCATGCAAACTTTTACGTAGGAATCAATTGTCAAATCGCGAATTCCTCACACATGCAACATCTCCATTCACGCCTCTCCACTGAAAAAAACGCATGGTGCGCACAACCGCGATGGATATCCCTAATAATCGGCAACACGGGACTGCTGCCTTATGCCGGGACACAAAAAAGAAGAACAAAAATTAAAATTTTTCTCCGCTCTATAACAGTCATTGCAAAGTTGATTTGTTACAAGCGCGCTCAAGGAGCGTCACTTGTGCGAGATGCGATGACAAGGCGGTCCTCAACTTGCCGCGTTTCCCATAAAAATCAGCCTACCTTAAATAAACCGCGCACCACGGAGAAAAATTTAACATTACGGACTAAACGGCAACGTTGCTCGTGACGGCAAACATGCGCTGCGACTTTCCATCGGAGCTTTGAGGGGCGGATCAAAAATTACTCTGTATCCACGCACGATGAATATGATGAAGTTGAATTCAATTTCGGGAAGGGGGTGGGTTGAGAGCGCCGGATCCCGGAAAAGAATGTTTTGGGGTTGTCGTTTGTGTTCAGCGTTATTCGCTTCGATGAAATTTTTCCGAATTTTTCCCATACGGTTGAGCGTCGCGCGTCGTGTAGTTCAGCGGAAGAGGCTCAATTTTATCCGTATGCACTTTGTATCTCTCGAATATGACTCTTCTTTCTGACGATCTAAGGAGAATGCAATAAAATATTTATTGATAACTTGTTCAGATTTAATGTGACTCTTTCTTTCTACATATATTACAGTGCAATCATCTCTACATAGCGGATTCTTAAGGGACCGACCACTTTTGCCGCTATAGAGAGAGGCTCGCTATTATGAAAGTATGACCCGAATAGACAGAAAAGGGGGCAATTATGACGCCAATAATGGGAAAATTCTGAGCTCTTCTTGGGGCTGAACCAAAAAAGCGTGGCTTCATCTACTTCCGTAAAATCTGGCCACCGAAGTTTTTTAAAATTAAGACCCTCGCTTTAGACAAAAATGATTTTGTCATGATTTTTCCATATCGGTCCGACCGTAGACAATGCGATGTTGTTAGAATGTACATCGACTTGCCGCCGCCGCCCTCCAGATCGCGAATGATATCCACTTTATCCTTCACGTCAAACATTTTATATTTTAACAGCTCTTAAAACGGCGAACTCAACATGCACAAAAAACTCAAAAACTACAGAGAAAAACACTCACGCACAACCTAACTTGTCGGCGACACGTCAAACTTTAAAAATCCAAAAATATGTGACACATTACATTCATCAAAGACTCCGGTCGGTATGATCTCCGCTGCCAGACCGCCGCTGTAGAGAAAGACGCTGCCACTATAAAGAACGGAAAATACTGGTATTTAATATGGAAGTTCAAGGGACCGGCCAATTTTGCCGTTACAGAGAAATTTTCGCTATAAAGCTGGCCGCTATAGAGAGATTGCACTGTACCTAAAAAAAACAATTTCCCATGAAAATTGTGTCATTTCTGCGATACTCCATCCCTGGTAAAAATTGGCAGTAGAACCTGTATTCCAAAATACCATAGACCTACAGCTGGCTGTATAAGATTTCCAATAGCTTCTATAGCCGGCTACACAATTTCTTATCGCCTTTTATAGCCGATGGCGACTAAGCAACAGCTAGGCGATAAAGTGTATATGCTAAACGCTACTAATTATGGATGCTAGGACTTAGTGAGTTTTTGGACTACTGCTCTCTTTTTGGGCCGTAGTATCTTGATTTATTTTGCGAGGAAAGCTCCGTACTTTTGATGGATGCATGTCATTCCTAATGTATTAGAGCGCCTTCAGTTTCGTATGATACTGTGCAATACCTCTGGTGTGAAATAGTTGCTTCAAGCGCCGCGGCACGCTGCGGCGCGGCAGGCGGGCAGCCAGCACGAAACGGGCATTGGCGCCTACAAACCTAACAGGGATACTTCACGCGTTGCGGAATGCGTGAAGTATCCCTGTTAGGTTTGTAGGCGCCAGTGCGTCGCCGCTCCGCTTTGTGTTAGGCTCTAATATTTAATCTGGCGGAGTCAGCGTTATTCAAATCATGATTTTGAAATGTTTGCACGCTCTGTATGGATTATTCTCATTTTAATTGATTTAAAAAAATATGTATTAAAGGAAAATATAATGTGTGTTTTGTAAATATTAAGGTGGTTCCGTATCAAACTTGATGATTTCCAAAGCATACGAATTTCTACACAATTTCTTATAGCCTTTTATAATCAATGGCGAAAAAGCAACAGCCAGGCGATAAAGTGTAAAGCCCGGCGATAGGAACTAAAGCTCAGCTGCATACTTTTTTATCGCTTCGTATAGCCCGGCCGTATGATTTTCTCCGCATTCTATAGCCAGCTATATGATTTTCTGTATCCTCCTTTAGCCGGCTATAAGAATTCGTATGGTATTTTGAAACGCAGCTCTTATCGCCAATTTTCACCAGGGATGTTTTCCCCAGAAAAAGCTAGAAAATAAAAATCCTGCAGTTCAATGATGTTAAAGTACTCTGTGGATGAAAATTTTTTTTAAAAATTCTTCCTGCCTTTATACTAAGACCTTTTCAATTATTTTCAGTGAGTATAGGCTCCTCTTCTGTCATGAACTATTATAAATACCCACTCTACCACAAACTCGAATTTCGACTCGTCGACCCGACGTGAAAAAATTGCCCCTAAAAAAATTTCCCTCCGCGCACTAAGGCTACTCATACCACGAGCGGCCCGATATCGCCAAAATTATACTGTCATTCGTAGACAAAGCGGTAATGCAATGTTTGTCTTTTCAACAAGCGGTGAGCCAAAAGACAGGCATTACATGTAATTATGGTGTTTTTCAAAGTATTTTTAGAGCAAGTATTGACATCAGCGTTTCTAAATCGATTATGTTGACGCCATTTGTTTCTCTGTATGTGTTGAACAGGAGCAAACGTGACATCGTGGCCCTAAGTTTGCAAGATAATTCACGCCCTCGCCTCTGAGCCAGTATGGAGTGCAGGACGGTTCTAATGAGACGGAAAATCGAAGGGGTCAAGAGCCTCCACTTAAATGAAGGAGCAGCCGCGAGAGGGCGTAGGGGATGCAAAAATATTGTGGTCTGCGGATGAGATCCTGAAGGTAAGCCTCACAGCGTTGCTTCATTTAAAAATAAAGTCTCATTGTTGGTAAATTCAGGTTTCTGGAGACGTTTCTAGTATCTTGCGACTTTATAAATTTGATAATTGATCATACAATTTACATCCACGTGTGCAGTTTTGCTCTTGTGTGTGTGCTCTCGCTCACATATTTGTTCGAATGCCAGACACTTACGGAGTGAGCACTTTTAGTTCAATCATAACAATTTGCTATTAAATATTTATTATTTGACAATGTAAAATCGGATATCGAGGAGAAATTCCGCTATTTCCTCAAGCGGCAACTGTGCACAGAACGAAACATTGCAGATTGACGGAATAGCCGAGGTGAGCCTGCTTGTTATTGTGGCCATTCACCAAAATGTCAGCGTGAAAAATACTTGTCGAGTTACAAACCTCTCAGTCCGATACTTATCTCAAATCATATTTTTCGAGGGCTCTGTCTAACCTACTTGTCACTCCAACCCTGGGTATCTCCGTGAATCCATTACCGAATTCAGAATTTGTTGCCAAACTTTTGAAACACCCAGTATTTGCACGAGTAACCTTCATCGGCGGCTGGTCATGTTCCATCTTCTTGAGCAACTAAACTTACTTTGAGGCAACTCCTATGGTATCTCTAAAAAATGAAGGCGCGTCATAAACTAGAATCGAGAAATATGCGAATTTAGGTGCTCGCTTGTGTTCTGATGAAAAGGATAGGATTGGGCTGCAATGGCTCCAACGTGGAATCAAAATATCTTTTTCAAAGCTCATAGATAGTTTAATTCGTCAAATACGTTAAATATGTTTTCTGGACAAGATTCAAGGGAAAATAAATTACATGGATGAACCTGGTGAGCCTGGGTTTAGCCTCTTTCTAGGGCCTTAAAATCAGTTTTAACAAACAGATCGCGGTTCGATGCACAAGTTGCTTAAGCAGATTGTTGGTGATTTCAGTATCGTGCATTCAAACCAGTGGCGTGGCGTGAATGATCGATTATCGATGTTTCCCCATTTGAAGGTATGGTGAAGAATCGATAATTAAGGTGCTTGTCGCGAACACCCTGTATATCGATACTTTTCCATAGGTTTAAATGGCCGATCAATCGATGTATCGCAAAGCACGCCACGCCTCTGATTCAAATCGGTCTAAAACTGATGTTTCATTACGAAGGGAAAAGGCTCTTCCGAGCACATTGCTCTTAAGAGAGTTATCTTGTTTGGTGCACCATCAGTTGCTTCCCGGTTCAAACCTGAGTGCCTATCTGATTGGTCGTAACTAGACGTGCACCAAAGAGCCTAACTCTCTCGAAAGAAGATTTTTGCTCGAATGAGCTTTTTCTTTCCATGATGAGACATCAGAGTTCGACTGAATTTGAACACTCGTTGACGGAATCACCAACACTATGTTCAAAATCAGTGGATTATAATCATTAAAAAATCAAGAAATAAGAAATAAAGACTAAAAACTTCCGTGTTAGGGATTCGACAAATCTTGATTCGAAAGAAAATGATTCTATGAATGTTAGTTCAATACATCTTTTAATCCTTATAGTCAAGTTCGGTTCTTTCACAACTTTTCACGGGCTCAACCTTCAGCCAAAATTCGACAAGTACTCTGAGCACCCGGTAAATTTTAACGAGAGGTTGAGACTCTCTTTTCCAAAACGTCCTTCCAAAGCCAAAGATTAAATTTTAGTGGAAGTTAGACCATCAAAGTCATCATAACCTGTAAAATCCTGAAACAGCTATTGAAGTTGTGCATCGAAAAAAGGTTGGATAGAATTCTTAGAGCCGGCCGTAAGTGATCTCGCGAAGGATGAATTCTGAAAAGGTTTCGCCAGGCGCGCACATGCATTTTTGAGGCATGGGAAACGAAATTAACAGGAGTATAAAGTAAAATCGATCAAAAAATCTGCTCCCGGATACTCATGCGGAAAAATGAAAGAAAAAGAGTGGGACAAAAACAACGTGCTCGAAAAAATTGAAAGCTTCGCGATTTGTCTCCGACTTCAAAAAGACATGAGAATCATCGATTTAGATTGAAGCCTTTTCGAGGGGACATTTGTCAGTGGGAAAGCACAAAGCTGTGTCGGCGCGCAATCAGATGCCACGTATGAGTAGGGAGGTGCCAGATGAGCCTAACAGAAAATGTACATATATTACATATATAGAATGCTCATGGTGTCCTTGAATAAACTGTCTTGTGTTCCTCGGAAAGGTTTCATTTTTTCCGTCTTAGATGCGGGTATGGATTAAAGATTGGGTAAGATTTGATACATGATCGATTGTTTTCGATACACGAGTACACAGTCATCCGATGTAAACAAAGAAGATTGGAATTACGAGTTCCACACTGCCATTTTGGAACGAACATGTATCGAAAAAGTGACCGAAGCTCGGCGCTCACTGGGCTTGGAACTCGTCGAGCAGAACACGGCGCCCGAGCTGGCTTCAGTGCATTCCGTCAACGATTTTTTGTCCGCACACCTGTTTTGTCCAGTAGTTTACGTCCACACGTGAAATAAGCAACAGTGCCTTGGTCCAAGTGTCATATTTTAGTCCGTATGTAAAATTATATTAACAATAATGAAATGAGAAAAATAAGAGAGACGGAACAGTTGTTGTGGTAACTCATTTTTTAAATGAAATGTTATTTCCTTCTTTTGATCAGTCTTTTAAAATTGTCACGGGTGAATATTTGCTTTTATTCCCATCCTTAAAATTTCCGATGAACCTTTTAAATCCTTTATTTTCATGAAAATATTACTTTATTTGAAAAATATTCACATTTTTAAAACGTGGCAAATATTTGTAAAACCTTTCCCGAGCGATGGCATCGATAATAAAGTCAATGAGCAGTAGTTGTGTCGAAAGAAACTATGCACAAATAAATAAAAGAGGGAAAAAACCGAAAAGCACGCAATCTTCGGTTTGAGCCCATTTGTACATCGATCTTTCAGAGTCAAATACGTCCTATTTTGAGCGTTTGGTTGTGTTCACACCACGCTGCAGTACAGTAAAAGCACAAAATATAAAAGAAAAAATTAATGTGCTTTGATAATCACTAAATACGACAAGGAAACACCTTAATTTTTACAAAACACACATTCAATTTTCCTTTCATATAATTATTTTTTTATCAATTTAAATTATAGTAATCCATGCAGAGTGTGCAAACATATAAAAATAATGAGTTGAAAAACGCTGACTCCGCGAGTTTAAATAATCGGCCATGCCATAAAGTGGAGTGATGCGACGTGCTACCAGCACGAAACGCGCACTGGCGCCTCCAAACCTAAGCAGATACTTCACGCATTGCGCAATGTTTGAGGTATCCCTTAGGTTTGTAGGCGCCAATGCGCGCTCCGTGCTGGCTGGCTGACCGCGCCGCGCCGTAGCGTGCCTTGTGCCACGGCATACTTCACTATTTCACAACAGAGGTGTTGTACAGTATTATACGAAATTGAAGGCACTCCAACATACCAACAATAAGAATGACAGGCATCCCTTAAGAGCACGGACCTTTCCTTGCAAAATAAGTCAAGATAAGAGAGAAAAAGGAACATTCTTGAGTATGCCGTCAAGAAGATTTTATTTTGAATCAAGAATAAAATAGGTGAACAAAAGCGGGTTTCTGCTTGATGTAAGTGACTTTCCTTTCTATAAAAGCATCTTTTTTTCTTTAAGAGAACATTATTTTCTTTATTAACTCATAAGGAAATCTTCTCGGCGGTAAATTTGAGGGTACTTCTCCTTAAATTAAGTCACTTGTTCCTCTGATGAAGTTAAAAATCATACTAAACGTTATTAAATACGGATACTAGGACAGTAAGTTTTTCGATTACCGCTCTCTTTTTGTTGTCGTTACTCGATTTAACTTGCGAGGGAACTTTGTGCTTTTGAAAGATGCCATCAATCATGATACGTTGGGGTGCCTTCGATCTCATATGATACTGTGCAACACCTCCGTGGCGAAATAGTAGCTCGAGGGATTTTCTTGAAAGATAATTAAATCCTGTTGCACCAAAGAGGTGTAGAGAGTCTTAGTGCATTTTCTCTCATGGAAATGACGCACCCTCATTTTTACCAAAAATCTTAATTATATATTTTTCTCCGTTGGAGCAAAAAAAAAAACAAGCAGTGAACTCCAACACAATGTGTTGATAAGGCGCGTCATTAACTCGCACATATCAACCCCTTTAGTTTTCATTTACAGAGATTTCAAAATAGGCAAGCAGCACAACAATAGAATTCACGATCCAACACTGCGAGGTCAACGACGCACCTTGACGAGACCGTGTATTGTGAATGTAGAAAGCTATTCGATCGAATTTAAGTTTTTTGATCTGCTTCAAGCAAAATCTTATCAGATTCTTGAAGAAAAGTGCTACGGAATAATTTAAGCGA